TGCTCAGCGGGAAGCCTGCTTCTCCTTCTCCCATTCCCCCTGCTCGTGTTCCCTCTCTTGCTGTGTCTCTATCAAATAAATAAATAAAATCTTTCAAAAAAAAAAAAAAAACCAAAGACATCACCAAAAAACTGTTAAAATAAATGAGTTCAGTCAAGTTGAGGGTAGAAAATAAATATACAAAATCTGTTACATTTCTGTACACCAATAACAAACTATCAGAAAGAGAAATTGAGAAAACAATCCCACTTACAATTGCATCAAAAAGAATAAAATATCTAGAAATAAATTTAACAAAGGAGGTGGAAGACCTGTACACTAAAAACTATAAGACATTGATGAAAGAAATCGAATAAAACAAATAAATGGAAAGATATTCTGTGCTCATGGATGGAAGAATGAATATTGTTAAAATGTCCACACTAGCCTTTTACCTCGTTGCATCTGAGAGAGCAAGATGGGTCACCAGCAGCTGTACTGGAGCCATCCGAGGAAATTTGGCCAGGGTTCTCGTTCTTGCCGCGTCTGCTCAAACCGGCACAGTCTGATCCGGAAATACGGCCTCAGTATGTGCCGCCAGTGTTTCCGTCAGTACGCAAAGGACATAGGCTTCATTAAGTTGGATTAAGTGAACTTCCTTGAATTGGTCATCCAGGATAACCTACCTTAACTGCAGATACCCAAGATACCTACTTTAATGCCAACACATTGTACATAAAATAAAAATACTTCAATTATGAAAAAAAAAAAAAATGTCCACACTAAGGGCGCCTGAGTGGCTCAGTCAGTTAAGTGTCTGCCTTCAGCTCAGGTCGTGATCCCAGGATCCTGGGATCGAGTCCTACATTGAGCCTGCTTCTCCCTCTGTCTCTGCCTCTCTCTCATGAATAAATAAAATCTTAAAAAAAAAAAAGTCCACACTACTCAAAGCAATCTATATATTCAATGAAATCCTTGTTGAAACCCCAATGGCATTTTTCCCTGAAATAGACAATCCTGGGGTGCCTTGGTGGCTCAGTAGGTTAAGTGTCTGCCTTCAGCTCAGGTTGTGATCCCAGGGTCCTGTGGTAGAGCCCCACATCAGACTCCCTGCTCAGCAGAGAGTCTGCTTCTCCCTATTCCCTCTGTTCATGCTGTCTCTCACTCTCCCTCGCTCAAATAAATAAAATCTTTTTTAAAAAATAAAAGAAATAGACAATCCTAAAATTTGTATGGAACCACAAAAGACCCCAAATAGCCAAGGCAATCTTAAAAGAACAAAGCTGGAGACAACATGCTCTCTGATTTCAAACTATATTACAAAGCTATTGTAATCAAAACAGTATGTATTGACATAAGAGACACAGAGATCAATGGAACAGAAAAGAGAGCCCAGAAATAAACCCACAATAAATTAATCTATGACAAGGGGGATTAAATGGGTGATGGGGAGTCAAAAGGTACAAACTTCCACTTACAAAAATAAATCACCTTGCCAAGGCGCTCCCTTCACAGAGCACCCTGGGAAACCCCAACGGGTGATCCACCTCAGCTCCAGCCACCCAGCCAGGGCACCCCCTCCAAGTAGACTCCAGAAACCCCTGGCCCATACCTGCCTTGACTCAAGCCACCCCACCAAGGTGTCCCCTATGCTGAACACCCCAAGACACCCCAGCTTGTACTCACTTCAGCCTCAGCTGTCCTGCCAGAGTGCCCTTTGTACAGAAGGCCCTACCTGAGGTCTCGGCCAATAGCATCAACCACCAAACCTGTAAGCAGGCTTTCAGATCAATATTGACCAATAGAAATATAATGTGAACCCCAAATGTGGGTCTCATATGTAACTAAATTTTCTAGCAGACACATTAAAATCATTTTAAATAATTCTAATATATTTAATTTAACCTATATATCCAAAATATCATTTTGACCTGTAATAACATTAAAAAATTATTGAGATATTTTAGTTTCTTCATACTATGTCTTCAAAATCCAATGTATGTTTTACACTTATAGCACATCTCAATTCAGACCAGCCTCTTTTTAACTGCTCATTAGCCACTTGTGGCTACTGTACTGTGACAGCGTCAAATGATTCAACCATGCAACTGTTAAGTCCATTCCAGCCTTGAGTTTTCCCAGCTGAGACCCAAATATCATACAGTTAGAAAATTGTTTCTGCTATGCTCTTTCTGAATTGTTGATACAAAATCTGTGAGCATAACAAAATGGTAACTAAATCTGGGTGGCTTATTATGTACCAATAGCAACTGGGATACCAGTCTATGAAAGTTCTATAACTTTAACTTACTTAAACATTTTCCTATCCTAGGTGTTTTTCCCACCTCTTTCTAGGGCTTTATTATAAACAATGCTATGATGAGCAATACAATCTCTGTAAGCTAGTCGAATTATTAGAGAGTGGCTTTTCTGGGTCAATGAGAGCATACATTTAGATTTACATTCACATTGTCAAACTGCTATCCAAAGCTTAACCAGTTTTCACTAATAACACACATATTCCCAACTGTGCTTCTAATTAATGCTAGCCCTTTTCTAGTTTAAGTTGAATGTTTAGTTCCTTTCTGTTCCATAAAATTCATCAATAATCTTGCTTTATCTTATATTTTAAACTACCAGTGATATATTTGTGTAATAAAAGATTGAACTAATGCACAAACGGATCCTACATCATTACACAATTTGGCTCTTTTCCCACTTAAGTCTTAGACATCTTTCCCTGTTAATTAAAAAATTAATTCATTAAGGGCACCTAGGTGGCTCAGCCAGTTAAAGGTCTGACTTCAGCTCAGGTCATGATTTCAGGATCCTGGGATCGACCTCCACTCAGCAAGGGAATCTGCTTCTCCCTCTCCCTCTGCCCCTCCCCCTGCTCATGCTCACTCTCTCTAATAAATAAATATTTTTAAAAATTAACTCAGGGCACCTGGGTAGCTCAGTCATTAAGCGTCTGCCTTTGGCTCAAG